TTTTTTGTTTTTTTGGCAGGGGAGGTACTAGATTGAACACAGAGGTGTTTTACAACTGACCCACATACCCAGCCTTTTTTGTATTTTCTTTTTAGACATGATTTCACTAAATTGCTTAGGGCCTCACTAAATTGCTGAGGCTGCAGTCAAATTTATAATCCTCCTTCTCAACCACTTGAGTCACTAAGATTACAGGTGTATGCCATTGGATCTGTCACAATCTAAAATATTTGAATCTATAGAACTGAAGGTTAGAATAGTAGTGAGGAGGGTTTGGTGGATTTAGGAAGGGAAGTTTGTGAAGATGTTGGTTGAAGGATACAGTATTTAGTTAGGAGGGATAAGTGAGGAGAGATCTACTACTGCACACCATGGTAAGCACAGGTAACAATATGTTGAATCTTGAAAACTACCAAGAGTGAATATTGAGTGTTCTTACCACAAAAATAAAAACTATGTGAAGTAATGTGTATGCTAATGAGCTATATTTATTCATTCCAATATATATAACCACATCAAAAGATTATGATTTATGTCATAATGAATACAATTTTATCTATTTTAAAAAAGGTGATCAATATTAACAGGGCATTGGTTACAAATGTTCAGTTTCTGACACCCTGACTAACCAAACCATAATCTACATTCAAACCAGATCCCTGAGTGATACTGGAAAAGTTCTGGTCTGGAAAAGTATTTTTCAAATGACCCACTGTTGACCTTGGAGCTAGATACTACTATGTTTAACTACTTTGCACAATGATGAGTGTCATCCCTGACTTCAGCCTACCAAGTGCAACTCCAACTCCCCAGTTTGACAACCCAAAATTTCTCCAGACATCACCAATGTCTCCTGGATACACGATCACCCCTGGTGGAGAGCCACTGCCCTGGAACAGGAGAACTGGAAACACCTTGGGTAATATTCATCCTTACTCAGGTCACAACATTTGGGAAGATCACTTAACTCATCTCTGTCCTATTTGTGCAAATGTAAAATAGGTCCCTAATACTATAGACCTCATACAATGGACAGATATAAAAATGAAATTGCAAGGATTGCAAGATTCTAACTTTAGCACACAGTACACAAAAATAGCAAGTTTATCTCTTACAATCTCTAAATGTTTCACAAATGAGTTAATGACAATTCTTAATTTGTGTTCCAAACATGAATATCATAACTGCTTTGCCAAAAGCATGATGAAGTCAAGAGTTGTAGCCATTTCTCATGGTTTTATACCAAATGAACATGGTTCTCTCCCTTGAAGAGGGGATGGAAAATTTCTGAAGTTACCAGGAGCTGTAATTACCCCTCTACAAGGCAGAGCTTTGGAGTTCCAATGAATGGGGAACCTCAGACTGTGGAGGATTTTGTAACTAGGAAATGGCAGAGATGCTAAGGAGGTTAGACTTCCAGAGGGCAGGAGCCTTCCCAGAGAAAGAGTTAAGAAGACAAAATTCACCATAATTTCTAACCTTGTCTCTTGGGAATATGGAATGAGCAGGAAAATTTTCCTTTCTGTGCAGACAAAAGTCCCCAGGGAAATGAGGTGCTCAGGGAATGGAATAACAAGAAGAAATGTACCTGATGAGCAGGACAGGGAGCTATAAATAGATGCTCGGATGATATCCCACAGAGAGTAAACCAGTGCTTTACTCCTTCCTCCTGTCTTGTCTGGGGACAGAGCTTTGTTTTTCATCACTAACCATCCAGACCAGAATTCAGACTTCCACATGGAGACTTTCTTCCCAGAGGCCCCATCAAGGTAAGTCTAAGACCCCAGCAGGTTCTGTAGGCAAGACTCAGTGAGAATGGAAGCCAACAAATTTATGGTAGGTCACCGGAGAACCAACCCAGCCCAGCCCACAGCAGAGAGTTACTGTGTTTGTTTCCCTACCTAATTGGTAATTTTTAGACTCTGCAATGCATGCATAGATCATTGTCGAAAATTCTATGATGGAAGGCTAATTGCATGAGACTGAATGAAGAAGTGGTATAAAAAATCTCACATAAAACTGAAACATACCCAAAGAGTTTTACAATTAGAAAATTGAGTATTAGGTATGGAGGGACATGCAGGGAAGTCTTTTTATTGTGAAGTGTATTTGATCCTGTTTCTTCATTCATTACAGGATCTAACTAATGGGTTGCTTAACAATATTAACCTTGCAACAACATCTTGTGAGATAGGCATCTCACAGTCTTTTCTCTTGGGCTGGGTTATACACATAACCAAAATGAATTTTATTTGATAGGTGAAAGGGAAAACTAAACTACATTTTGCTGCAATGTTTTCATTATTGCTGAGGCTGAATAAAATTTATTTTCTTACTCTTTGCAATTTCAAATTACTTATTCAAGTTTATTGTTTTTATCAGATCTTAGTGTTTTATTTTGTGATTTCATTTTTTTCCAAAAAAAAAATGAGTTGGAGGTTTCTTTTTCCTCCTATGTTTGTGCTTACCATTTAGTGTTTCTATAAATTCATGGATGTATTTGATGGAGAGTATAAGTCAAAGTTGAAATTTTGTGGACAAATCTGTTTTAATCATATTGCAGATCCAAATGTCCAATTGCTTTTTAAATTTTATTAAAATTTTTAATTTTTGAATTTAATTTAATTTTTTAATTTTTTAATTTCTTCTGCTTGGTTAGTAGAGTCAATTGCCTTTTATAACTTTTTCTTTGGCAGGTTCTTTAATTTATTCTTTTCAGTTATATACAACACCAAGATACACCTTGACAATATCACAAAGCCTAGAACACCACCACCCCAATTCAGTTCCCAGTGCTGTCCCCACCCTGCCCCCACTCCACTGATCCCTCTTGGATCCATTTACAGTTTCCTTTTCCTTTTTATTTTTTTTTTAATTTGTGTCCTGAGGATACCTTTTTCCATCCTATGGCGATCTGTTTTCTCTTATTAGAACTTTTTGCTTTTGGGGATCGGTTCTATTTTTACAAGTAGCCATCATCTTCTAAAACATATTCTTTTGCAGTCATCCTAAGATTGCCTTTGTTTTACTCAGAAATATGTTTTTTTACCTAGAAACTTCATTATATTTAAGGACATCCCCTTTTTGTACAAGGGAATTCTATATAAATAATAAGCATCATGGGATTCCTGTCAGAAATCAGTGAGTCAATGCGCGTGGTGCATCTAGTCCATGTGCACTGTAAGAACTCATAAGGGGAGCTTTGAGAATATTTAATCATGATTCATCATCAGAGTCATGATAGCAAAATTATGGCAAAACTAAAACATATGTGTTTATTTTTAGCAAGGGTTTGAGGAAAGGGGAAACTTAGTGTAGATTTGTCAACTTTACACATCACCAACTTTCTGAATAGCCACCTTGAAATATGCATTGAAAACCAGCAGATTCAGCTGGCAATGTGGCTCAGTGAGAAGGGACTTGGCTAGTGTGCATGAGTCCCAGGGTTAGACCCCAGCACCTCCAAATAAATAAATCAATAAAATTAAAAACTAGCAGACTCACATATCCCTTTACCCAGAAACTCTATGAATTTACCTAAAATAATAAAGTTGGTGGTAAATAAATTTAAATTATACTCTGTCGTGGTATGTAATTTTTCTTATAGTATCCTCATCTAGTCAAATTGTTCCCAAAAGCTAACCAACAATGAGAAATCCACCTGGATCCCTGAGATGACTCTGAAATCAAAATTCTGCTTCCTTGCATGTACCGGAGATATCTAATAATGTCAAACTCAGATGCTTAGAGCAGAACGGTAGTGTCCAGGCAGGAAAGAAGAGGAAAGCATAGGCAGGGGATTACCAGATGTCAAGTGACAGTTATGTAAGATGTCTAATGTCCAGACCTCTGCTATGCAACTTAGTGCCTAGGGCTAGCAAGTGATATTCTGCATTTGACAATTTGCTATGAGGACAGATCTCATTTTCAGTATTCTAACCTCAAATGAAACAGAAAAACAAAGGCATGCTCTAGGAGGAGATGGATGTGTCTCTGACTTTCCTTGTGGTGATGGGACCACCTGGATTTACACATGTCTTCACTCATCAGATTGCATATGTCTGCACTCATCAGATTGCATATGTCTGCACTCATCAGATTGCATATGTCATATATGTATACAATGTAACTACACTGCAATAAATCAGGTTAAAACAAAAGTACTAGGGACAATATGTAGCAAGTGACCCTCTGCATTTTGACAATCCTCAAATTTCAACCATCTTAGGGAGTCCACCTTCCTCACCATCCTTAGACATAACCTCTCCTCCATCTCCCTCTTGCTTGTTCTGGCTGCCAGTGGCTCCCTTGTGAACAGTGACATGTGCAGCTAGCACCAGCCTCAGGATCTTTGTGCTGCTCACCTCTTCTGCCAGACACCTGCTTCTGAAGTTAACCTTGTGGCTTCCCTGCTGTTGTTTGAGGTCTATGTTCAAATACCATCTTGTCTTGCCAGGACCCTTTTAAAAACAGCACTTCATCTACTCTCCCTTTTAACTGCCCATGTTTTCTTCATTGCAATTATAACCATATGATATGTTATAGGATCATTTATTTTCCATTTTTAAATAATATATGAAAATTGTGCACATTTGTGGTGTGCTGTGTGAGCTCTTAATATATGTAGGTGTTTTATAATGTTCAAATAATTCTCTAAAACATGTAGCATTACTTTATGGTGAAACATTTAAAATAATCTAGCTCCAATGTCAAAAATAATGCATCCACTTCTTTTGGCATTACTGAATCATAGGTATATTCATATTTCAGCAACCATCCACATTGGCTAGACAGTGCCAGGAATATGGGAGAATGCTGTGTGCATTCCTGAAGGGCTTGAAAAATGCTTATTAAAAGTATTGTATATGTAGTATTCATAAGTCCTTCAAGAGAGAATCTTGAATTCTGAGTCAGAGATGGCACATAGAATGTCCTGTGTAGGACCAGGTACAAAAATTAGTCATGACATTTTTCTCTTTTTTAGTGGTTATGTACAATACATGGAATCAAAAAATGACACAAAAATTTCAGAATTTCTTCTCCAGGGAATTTCAGAGGACCCAGAACTACAGCCCCTCATATTTGGGCTGTTTCTCTCCATGTACCTGATCACTCTGCTGGGGAACCTGCTCATCATCCTGGCCACCATCTCAGACTCCCACCTGCACACACCCATGTACTTCTTCCTCTCCAACCTGTCCTTTGTGGACATCTGCTTCACCTCCACCACCATCCCCAAGATGCTGGTGAATATCCAGACACAGAGCAAGGCCATAAGATATGAAGGCTGCATCCTACAGATTTATTTTTTTACATTATTTATAGTGTTGGACAACTTCCTCCTGGCCGTGATGGCCTATGACCGGTATGTGGCCATCTGTCACCCACTGCACTACATGGTTATCATGAACCCATATCTCTGTAGCTTGCTGGCACTGGCATCCTGGACCACGAGTGCCCTGAATTCCTTATTACAAAGCTTGATGGTGTTGCGGTTGTCCTTTTGTTCAAACTTGGAAATCCCACACTTTTTCTGTGAACTAAATCAGGTGGTCCACCATGCCTGTTCAGACACCTTTCTTAATGACCTGGTGGCATGTCTTGCAACTGTGATATTGGCTGGTAGCCCCCTCACTGGCATCCTTTACTCTTACTCCAGGATAGTGTCCTCCATCCGTGCAATCTCATCAGCTCAGGGCAAGTACAAAGCCTTCTCCACCTGTGCATCTCACCTCTCCGTGGTCTCCTTGTTTCATGGAACAAGCCTAGGTGTGTACCTCAGTGCTGCTGTGACCCAAAACTCACGCTCAGTTGCAACAGCCTCAGTGATGTACACTGTGGTCACGCCCATGCTGAACCCCTTCATCTACAGTCTGAGGAACAAGGACATCAAGAGCGCTCTGAGAAGACTCCTTTGGGGGACACCTGGAAAGGGACCAGTTGGTCCACCCCAGTAGAGTCACCTGTGAGTTCAAGGCTCCAAGTTTTGGAGCAGAAAACCATTATTCTTTAACAAGACGGTATAATAAAATGCTGATCCTTTTATTGTAATCTCCATTGCTTTGGAATCAATTTCCCAATACAATTAAAGTAACTGTTATACTAGACTTTTTGTACTTTGTGGTCTCTCAAATTGGTTTTCCTTGGTCACTTCCTACTTTCCCAAACCTCTTCCCACCCTTCAGTTGAAGGCATTTGGAAATTCCCACTCATATCATATCTTGGGACAACATGACCTTGAGGAATAATTTTCTCTCTCTCTCTCTCTCTGGTTACACATGACAGAAGAATCCATTTTGATATAATTACACCAACATGGAATACATCTGAATCTACTTAGGATCCCATTCTTGGGGATGGATGTTAGTGGGATTCTTTTTTTTCCTTCTTTTCTCTTTTTCTCCTAGTGCTGGGAATGGAACCCAGGGCCTCGTGCACACCAGGCAAACACTCACCATCATTGAGCGAGGTCCCCAGCCCTTAAGAATAAATTATTTTCAAATAACAGTGCAACACATAGTTTTTCTTCTCTTTTTCTAAAAAAAATGCCCATGAGTCTTATGACATCAGTGAAACACTCCACTTAGAAACGAGAGCCGTTCGCACCCTCCATTGAATAGCATATGAACTCTGAGACCTCAGCTTCTCACTGTGCTCACATCATTCTTTTCTGTCCTTCTTTCTTCCTTCTTTTCCTTTTCCTTCCTTCCTCTCTTCCTTTTCCCCTGCAGCCCAAGGCCTTGTGCAGGCTAAACATCCGCTCCACTAGGAGCTGCGTCCTGGCTCCCATCCCTGTTTCCCACATCACAATCTTCACTGTTCTTCCTGGGACGTCAACACACCAGGCTGCTCTCTAACTGGTCACTGGATGGTGTTCCCTCTTTAGGATCCTGTTCTATATTCAGCTCCACACACTGTCTGCCATCTGGAAAAATATTATCTGATATGCTTCCAAGTAGTCTATGTGGAGAGACAAACTGGACAAACAGATTGATTCGGTATGGCCTGAGTGTCAGGGAATAACTTAAATATGATAAGGCATAATTTTAAATGAAGTAAATTTTATTGCCATGGAAAATATTTCTTGGCATGTTCTGGCTCCACTCATTGAAGGGTGGGAGGTTTTCTTCCATGTGTGGGAGGGTTTATGCATTGGGTTTCTGGAGGGGTTGATGGACTTCACTCTGTTTCATTGAATTATCTTCCTGTTGCTACTTAGAATCCTCTAACACTGTCTACAAATACCACTCTTCCTGTTGCACCAAGGGGCTTCCCATTTTCTAAGTTTTATCATAACCACTCTGGGGGCCGTGAATGAATAATGTCATCCCATATCATCCCCTTTACCCACAGGAATCAATTTGACCTTAATGATCTTTTGCACACGAGAGCCTGAACTCCAGCCCAGTCATGTCATTAAGAGTCAACCATATTCCCATTCAAAGGCACATGTCCTCCACATCTCTTAATCAGCTGGAACCTCATTGGAGGCACTTTTTAATACAGGGTGTGAAACCAACTTACATAACAGATTAATTATGAATGATGTCATCAAGTGTCAGAACAAAAGTTACAATTGAAAGTAGCAAGTCCTTTTTCCCTTGGATCATTGTATTAGGTAGCTATTGCAATGGTAAAGTCATCCTAAAGCCAAATGGCTTAAAATAACACCATGCTTGGGCTGGAGTTGTGGCTCAGTGGTAGACTGCTCATCTGGCATGTGTGAGGCCCTGGGTTCGATCCTCATCACCACATAAAAATTAGTAAATAAAAAAGGCATTTTGTCCAACTACACCTAAAAAATAATTTTAAAAAAATAGCACCATGCTCATCAAGTGGATGAATAGGGTAGAGGGTGGAGAGTGAAGGGTGGAGGGTAGAGGGTGGAAGATGGAGGGTGGAGGGTAGAGGGAGGGTGGAGGGTGAAAGGTTCAGACTCTCACGATACCTCTGCAAGGCGTGTCTACCCAGATTCTTTAAATTAATGTATTTCACGTGTATCAGTCAGGGTTCTCCAGAGAAACCAAACCAGCATACTGACAGAGGGTAGATGGATGGACATATGGCCAAGATAGACATATGACTATAGAGACAGGATTGACTCACACAATTCCAGAGCATGGGTATTTCTAAATGTCCTCTGCAAGCTGGAGACCAGAGGAGCAAATCAGGTTAATCAGTACAAAAGGCTGGAACTCTCAGAACCAGACAGAACAATAGTTTATCCCCCATCCTTAAGGCTCAAAGCCCAAGAGCTTCAGAAGATTCTGGTGCAAGTACCACATGCCAAATACTGAAGAAATGAAAGTCTGATGTTTGACAGAAGAAGCAGGAGAGAACCAGCCCTGTTCCCAGAGGAAGAACAGAGAGAGTCTCCCCCTTTTTCCACATTCCTGTCCCATCCTGGCCTCAGACGTTTACATAGTGTGGCTCACATTCAGGGAAGATCTTTCCCACTCAGTTTGCAGACGCCACAACACTCCGTTCTGGAAAGAGCCTTCCAGACACAATTGGAAGGGATTTACCAACCCTCAACATCCCTCAAACTAGTCAAGGTGGCACCCAAATTTAATCATCCACTCATCAGAGTCTAGAGGCTCTCTGGGGACATTCGGTTGGATTAGATGAGACTCTGTCCAGGCCCAAAGCAGTTAGGTGGAGTGACACACTATTCCTAGAGAAACCAGGAGCAATAAGCAATTGTGAGGCATAAAACAAATGCTCTCAGGGCAAAAAGAGAAAAGATAAGACATTTCTGATGACATCAAAATTTGTGAGTCATATGGTCTGGATTTGCAAGAAGGAGGAGGAGGAGGAGGCGAGAAATCATTTGACACAACTAGAGACATCGGCTTTGCAGATCTTCCCAAAAGTGAAACATAGCGAAGCAACTTAGAAGAGATTGAAAACCCTTACTGGGCCTATTTGGTGCCATTACGACTGGGTCAGAGACAGTTCCATGAGTCCAACACAACACAGGGTGGTGCATTCAGGCTCTGAGCAGCCTGCCTGGGTCCGCTCCACCAGCACTCCCTGTCTCCTTGAAGCAGCTCAATGAAAGACTCACTTCCTGTGCCAGGAAACCCTTGTGATGTCACAGTGACCTGAGCCAAGGAGGACCAAGGTGATGGTCACAATGGCAGCTATCTGTGGAGCATCTGCTCTGGGAAGGTCATTTCCTGTAAGCTGCAACCTATGGCTTAGTTCACATAGAAACTCCATGAAGAAGGGTGTATCTACCCAGTTTGTATACAAGGAGCCAAGGTCTGTACATTTGATTTCCTGTTATGGAGGACATATAGAATATGCCAGTGTCAACTTGTCTAGGCAGAAGCTGAGCTGAGACCACATCTGACCACCTAAGATCAGAACAGAGCTGATGGAGGCCTTCATGGTGGAGAAGGCCTCGAAATGCCTGTGCTTAACTCTGATGCTGGACAACAGCCTCAGTGGTCAATAATGGAACCACCATGTGATCTGGCAATCCCACCACTGAGTAGTCATCCAAACCAAATGAATTTAGTACTTCAAAGAGATATTAGTACTTCCATATTCATTGTAGCATTATTTAAAAAAAGCAAGATCTGGATTCTTCCTAAGTGTCTTTCAACAGATGAATGAATAAAGGAAATTTGGCACACATAAACAATGGAATATGATCCAGCCATTAAAATGGATAAAATCCTGTCACATTCAACAAAATACATGGAACTTATTTTGTTACATGAAATTAGGCAGATACAGGAAGACAATTGCCATATGACCTCACTATGCAGAATCTATTTTTTTTTTTTTTTGGCAGGGGAGGTACTAGATTGAACACACCGGTGTTTTACCACTGAGCCTCATCCCCAGCCCTTTTTGTTTTTGTTTTTTTTTTTCTTTTTAGACATGATTTCACTAAGTTGCTTAGGTCCTCACTAAATTGCTGAGGCTGGCGTCAAACTTATAATCCTACTTCTCAACTTTTCTAGTCATTAAGATTACAGTTTTGGTCCATTGGATTTTTCAGAATCTAAAATATTTGATTCCATAGAACTGAAGATTAGACTAGTAGTTAGGAGGGTTGGGTGGATTTGGGAAAGGAAGTTTGCAAAGATGTTGGTTGAGAATACAATATTTAGATAGGAGGGATAAATGAGGAGAGATTACTACTGCACACCATGGTAAGCACAGGTAAAAATATGTTGAATCTTGAAAAATACCAAGAGTGAATATTGAGTGTTCTTACCACAAAAAATGGTAACTATGTGAAGTAATGTGTATGTTAATAAGCTGTATTTATTCATTCCAACATACATAACCACATCAAAACCATATCATTTATGTCATAATGAATACAATTTTATCTTTTAAAAAAGGTGATCAATATTAACAGGGCATTGGTTACAAATGTTCAATTTCTGCCACCCTGACCACACAAACCATAATCTACGTTCAATCCAGATCCCTGAGTGATATTGGAAAAGTTCTGGTCTGGAAAAGTATTTTTCAAATGACCCACTGTTGACCTTGGAGCTAGATACTACTATGTTTTATTACTTTGCAGGATGCTGAGTGCCATCCCTGACTTCAGCCTACCAAGTGCAACTCCAACTCCCCAGTTTAACAACCCAAAATTTCTCCAGACATCACCAATGTCTCCTGGATACACGATCACCCCTGGTGGAGAGCCACTGCCCTGGAACAGGAGAACTGGAAACACCTTGGGTAATATTCATCCTTACTCAGGTCACGACATCTGGGAAGATCACTTAATTCATCTCTGTCCTATTTGTGCAAATGTAATATAGGTCCCTAATACTATAGACCCAATATAATGGACAGATGTAAAAACGAAATTGCAAGGATTTATTTGCAAGGATTTCAAGATTCTAACTTTAGAACAGAGTACACAAAAATAACAAGTTTATTTCTTACAATTTCTAAATGTTTCACAAATGAGTTAATGACAATG